AGTAAAAATCAATACAATAAATAACCAACAGAAGGGAACGATAACATCAAGACAGTCAGAGAGAAAAAGGCCTCAAAGGATGCTTTAAAAAAATCAAATTACTTTCTAGTTTGAGGGAAAGTGAGACAGAGAGACTGAATGCAAATTAGTCTGTCAAAAGTGTCCCGGTCAAAGGTTTCTCTGCGCTGGTGGGGTCTTTGTGTTTAGAGCGTCTGTGTCTGTGTTGAGCCTCCCAAGTAGTGCCGCGTTAGGAGGCCTCTTGGGTGGATGCAGCCTGCCCATGACACACAACCACACACACACACAACACACACACACCACCTACCCAAACTGGTCCGTACGGATGCTCTATCACACACATTCTTTCCTTTCTCTGTCTCTCTCTCACGCACACTCGCGTGCACTCTCACATGCACCAATCTCTCACATGGCATCACATGGCTGCTCTCTATAAAACAAATTGAAATGCCAACGCAAAAACCACAACAAAATTCTATAAGCAACTAAAAACAGTCACTGCAAAACATTTTCATCTCTCTATAGCCAAAAAAAAAGAAGCTTCAGGCAAAAAAACGCCGACAGCACCAACAAACTACCGAGAAAATTACCAACAACACAAACAGCCGATTATATAAACAATGTTTTCCGTGTACTAAAAAAAAAACACAGAAAAAAAGACAACATAATATTTCATTGTGCCTCCTCCTATGTAGAAAACCCCAGCGCTGCCTGAGAAGAGAGCAGAGCAGAGCAGAGTGGGAGAGCGAGGGGAAAACAGAGTGAGAGAGAGAGAGCGGCAGAGAGACGAGACGGGGGAGAAACACAACTTACCTGCTGTTGTTGCAGATGCAGCAGCTCGACTGTGCTTACTTCGCTGCTCGTGTCACCAGCGCTTGATCTCCCATCTCTACTGCCAGCCTCTAATTGGCTGCTGCTTAGGGTGCTCATTCCATTTTGACTCATTGAACTGTTGCTTATTGTCTCTGTGGCCGACTCCTGCATCATCATGATTTAAAACCTAGAAGTGATTAAGAGGCACCGGTTAGGGCTCTTCTTGTTACAATTCCCCCTTTTTCCCTCCTATTTTTTTTTTTTTTTTTACGCTTCCATTATCAAGCCCTCAGTCCCCCTCTGCAAATTAAAGCATTTAAAGAAGAGGGAGGGGGGAAAGGAGAAGGGGGGAGGATGCAGGAGGAGCAATTATGCATTCATTGTGTAAATGAAGCAATACAAAGAGATGCACGTCCTGGTACTATTTAAAATGGGAGGGGTACCTAAATGTGTTTTTTATCCACTAAAATTTTGGCATAAATTTAAGCACAAGGCTTTAAGGAAAAAAAGTTGCATTATTTTTGTCGTTATTTGTTTTTTGTTTTAATACACAAATACAATTGTGGGAAATTAAGACAAAAATATGCTTGGACAAATATGTGATTCACAAATGAGTATATGCTTAATTCTTAATATCTCCCTCACACTTTAGGACAGCCAGGCTACACAGACAGAACAACAGAAGCACAGGCACTCCTAAAATATTTGCCGTCTTGAAGCTGTCAGATTTTTAGTGTGTGTCGCATGTGAATGAAGTTGCCTAATGACGCAAAACTAATCATGCAAAATTAAAATTTGGTGGTGGGGAGGAGGAGGAGGCACCAAATCACATGGTGCAGGGCTGGTGATGAACACTATAATGGGTTTGTCATCTTTGCTGTGGCTAAATAAAATCTGCCTCACAGGCTGCCATAGAGGCAGGATGCTCATATGTCATTCATTGGCTTCCTTTTTTTCCCCCTTCTTCTTTAATCAAACCTTATATATTAATTTATTTTGTGACATTTAAAAAATAGCTTTTCTCAACGGGACACAATTAAACCAGTGCTGAGCTGCAAGCAAACTATGTGGTGGGAGATCTACAATGCAAGACAAAAAAAATTAACAGTAAATAGATTTTGTATTAATTTTCTCGGCATCTATTAGATATGGAAAACTGGTGAAAGAAAGAGAAAAAACGAGGGAAGAAAAGAAAAAAATCTATCACGAATATCACTAATGATTGTGCTAAAAACAGCATAAATTATGCATATTACCTCCTCTCTCTCCAGTAATAAATGTTTTATCATTTCCCCCGCATTTAATGCTCTGTACCTTCAATGGGGCGGAGAGGAGCCCCACCAACATCAGTCGACATTCTCACAATAAATAAAAGACACTCAGACCCAACAAACGGCAACTCAAAATGCACTCCAGAATTATGGACTTTGTGCTGTCTCCATTTGGAAAACAATATATTTTTAATATTAAAAATTGAAATTTGAAAACATTTGAGACAATTCATATTTCAGAAGGATAAAAAACACTGCCTTATTGAGGAGGTTTGCTTACAGAAGCTGTGTGGCCTTATTTCAATTCCTGTTTTTAACAGTTTTGCCACTTTCACATTTAAAACACATTTCTACAGCTTTTTAATAAGGGAAAAACAAAGTTCGAGTGCAAGAGAACCGAATACCATATGATCCACATACATGCAACAAAAAGAGGGACGGATAATTATGCCTGTGTGTGTGCATGTGTTTTTGTGAGCATTTGAGCCCAGCCCACATGGGTACCGTGTGTATTCTTTGGCCCAGTAAATACGGTTTTAGTAGAAGTGTGTACACGTCCTTCAATGTGTTTGTGTGTGTGTGTGTGTGTGTGTGTGTTTGACGAGGGGCAGATACAGGACAGGCCTTAAAGGATGTCCACAGCCAGGATAAACAGGATCCAGGCAGGGAGAACAAACAGGGCTGAGCTGTTACACAGAGCAGGGCGACAGCTGCCCGGGACACAAGTAAATAGGGAAGAGGCCAGGACAAGGCGTGCTTGTGAACAAACAGGCCCCTGTTTAACACCGCACCACTCACTACTGATGGAGAGAGACGCACAGAAAGAAGACAGAGAGAGGGGGAG